TCTGCTCCTTGAAGGCTTGTGAAAATCCTGATCTGAAACCTTAATCTAATTGTCAGAAACTCCAAGAAAGGGTCAGCTTCAGGTTGACAATACCCCCAGAGGCAAGTCCATCAGAATCACCTAACCTAAAAGGTAACTTTTAGAAAGATACAGCTGCTTTAGTACCACGTATGGAAAACACATTAATTCAAACAACTATGATGAAGTAGGAGCGCTGGGTATATCCTGCACATTCTCACATGAAAAAAAACACCAAAGAAAACACTGTTGAGACTTCTTAAGAACTCCTTAAGTTATAAATGATTAGAAGAAGGCATTTTTCTTGAGCCCAATGTCTATATAATCCAAAACCTTGGCAGGTTATTCTGACAATATTAGAAGTAGAATGAGCATTAAGTGTAGCTAAGGCAATGTTCTCTAACCACCTAATACTGCTGGACTGGCATAAAGAAATCAAAGGGTATATCAGTTGTTCACACTCACAGGATAATGGCGAAGAAGGTGCCAAACCAGAAGACATAACACATCTTGGTCCTTCAAGCCATTTAGATGTGTTTGCGTATAACAATGCTGACCTGTCTCACAGAGTTGGCACAGGCATGGTCCCACAGAAGCATCTTCAGATGGTTTTCTCAGAATCATATCTTGTTTGCTTTGTTTTAATGGTAGGAGTAGAAAGGAATGCAGAAAACAGAATTTAACTAAATAGCAGAAAAAGACTAGCCAGTGAGCTGTAACCACTACCAGATGCATATATAAAAACACTTGAAAAGCAAACGGTGCATTTTAGTTGCTATACTACAAGCACTGAAGCAGAAATTTTACTTCAAAAACAAAAGGGAAGCACTTACTTATTTTGTACCATTACTTGCTTGCAAAACAATGACATGACAATTGAAGCAGGCAAGGACACAGCTAGAGATATTCAGGAACAGGCGACAGTGATGAGCAAGCCATGCAAGACCCCTGACTTTGCATCACCTGATTCACTGTTGGATTCCCCAGAATGAGCCTGAAAAAGGATAATTAGAAAGATAAGTGCCAAACATACAGCCTCAATCTTGGCTATGTGGTTTCACTTCTGGAAAGCTGAATTTCATCTCTTTCTTTCACATGTGCCAACCATTTAACAAAGCAGAAAGACAGACACGTGTACACAGTGTAGAGAGAATAAACTTTCCCAAACTGGGCAAGCAGACACTCGTGTCGACCATCACACCACATGAAGAAGAAATATGTAGTAAGATTCAGTCTGAGTCAGTATAAAATGAGCTGATTCACAAGCTCCCCACAAAGGCTGCATCTAGCAAAGTTCTGCTGGGGGTAAACATTTCCCAGCATATTCATATTGTTGGCAGGAACAAATAAAACATTAATACATCCACTGGCAGCAAGTGAACCCTGTAATTTACAGAAAGAATTTTCAAAAGCACAGACAGGTTTGTTTCATTCTTCTCACTTAAATGGGAGCAATGCAAGACCAACATACAGCGATTTTTCATCTGCAAAGACGACGTGAGAATTGAACAGTAAGCAATCATGTACTACTCTGCTCGAATAACCAATGTAGTAAAAGGGTGCCGCATACCAGCCTTCTAATAACACTTGTAATCCTAACTCTCATGGATAATAACACTGACTGGAAAGGCACTCAGGGTTTGAGTAAAGAAAATACTAGCATAAATACTGTGAGACTCAGGCCTAACCCAGGAGAAAAAAAGTAGTTTCATCAGTAACATACTTTCAGCAATTCCATAAATCATGTATGCATGCAACATATACAATTAGAGTCAGTTTGCTCTAAAGTTACATCTGTGTATCCATGACAGTTTCACTGCAGGTAATTTATTGTTAAAATTTCACTTCAATATTGTAGCTTGGGTTTTTTATTTTAATTAAAAGGTTAGGATTTAACATTTGCAATACCTAAAGTTAAGAATGCACTAGCAAAGCACAGCTACTACAGGCAAGCAGCTCCTAGTGAAACCATCTGCCTCCTAGTCTTCATTTATGAGGACATGTGATGTCTGCCAAAAAACAAAGTACTGGTCATCACAAAACTGAATATAAGACTGAAGTGCAGATATGTTGTTTTGTTTTTTTTTAAATGTAGTATTTCAAGATTACTTATTCAAGCACACCTTGTTAACCATCAAGAAACAGCTGGCCAACATTTTCTTGTAACAGAACAAAGAAGTAAGAATGCAGTGGTTCCCTGGAAAGGTACACATTTTTAAATCCCTACAGCTTTGTAGGCAAATATTTTAATAGTCTAGTTAAACTTTTGAGGGAAAGATGTGAAAGTAAAGTAGAGAGAGTGGAATCTCTGCTGCAACTTTCATAGTAACAGACACTTAGTTCACTTAAGAAATTCAGACACATTTCCCACTGAGGAGAGAACAAAGTGTAGATAGTAGCTTCAGGTTTGAAAAGTTTGTCATCTCTTAAAACAGAACCTTAGCATAAGACATCTGATTAAAAAAGCAAAAAGCTCCACATATTAAAAAAGAACTATGGTAGCAGGAACAGTAATAAACATCCATACATATTTTTAAATAATATCCTAATATATGTTAGCAATATAAAATAATTACTCATAGATTATCTTTTTCATTTTCCAGAATCAGTGACATTTAGTATGAATTCCTTTTGAGAAAATTTTAATAAGGCTTTACCATATTTATCTATAGATATACAGTGCCCCAAAGTGAAAACAAAAACCAAAATGGAAGCGACTTTAATCACATCTCATTCCAAAAATATTTTTGCCTCCAAAGATTTGGTTGGAAGAAAATGATACAAAAGGTTTTGACATTAGGAACAGTAAACAAGCAACACAACGATGGAGAAATCATGTGGTCAGTTTGCAAGTGCTGTTTATTGTTTGAGGCAGAGTTAAAGTCTTTTTTTAAAGACAAGAACATATATGCAACCAGACTGAAAGTGCCATTAGGTTATTCAAAACATCCCTGTTCAGAACGCTGCTGCTTGTAACACACCATTGCCAAAATACGTGGAGGCTTCAAATCAGACAATATAATATGAACAAACTAGGATTGCTGTTATTTTGGTAACCAAGAGTGATGACAAGTGCCCTAAATATTTTTATTTTTTTCTAATTAAAAAAATAAAAATAGGCATATAGTTTTCCTTTATATAGTGTCTCCTAGGACTTCTAATGTGAACTGGCATTTCATTTTGTAGCCATCTACAATGTTAGCAGAGGCATTTCAAGTGGCCAGAATGTGCTTTCCAGACACTAATTTGTATAGCAAACAGTTCAGAGCGCAATTTGCACCACAGATGGTGTGAACTGGGTAGTTATACATTCACTGCTGATTTTACGTATCTGTTAAAAATTTATTATAGACTCTCAAAGTGAAGACTCCCACTTACTGAGTAAGGCCTAAAATGTTCAGCAGCAGCAAGTTTTCCTTTGTCACTCTGCCAATGTCTTATTCTTTTTCATTGGTCAGATTTGATTTCCCAATTGGCTTCAATATCCAGTTCACTCCCACCTCCAACACTAGCTGACAGTAGCCCCAAAAGTAGGCAACTTCTGAAAACCAACATTTTTTTTTTCAACCAGGAAAGTGAATAAAGACCACCAAGTAACTTCAAACATGTCAAGAACAGCCAGACAGTGATGGCTCTCAACTGGGACTGATATGCACGGGTTTGGAACTGCGCAGAAGTAAGAATTTTTGCATGTTCCATGGCCAACCCCACTGTATCTAGTAACATTTAACAAAATATATGCATCAAGTATTGGATTTTTTTTTTTTTTCACAGTAACAAGTTCATTATTCTATATATGTCTAATCTGTTTATCAGAAAAGCAGAAAATATGCCATGCATTTTTATTTTTTCCACTGAAAAATTGACACTAGCTTTTCTTACAGTCATCAAAAGGCATTAATCAGAAATAATCTCTATAACATAGTACAGCTGTTAATGATGTGAATTCCACTATTTACTTTTATTGACTTTTTTCCCTCTGAATAATCACACCCATCTGGTGGCAATTTTATTTTATCTCACTCCTTTTAAGCACTTTTCTCTTTCATAATTTAAGCACTTAATTCTAAATGCCTAACTCTGTAAAAGTTAAAAAATCTTGTGCACTAAACCAGCAATAATATACACTGTCAATATCACAACTGAAGGTTTCTTCCAAGTATATACAGTTAAGCTGTGCAAATATTCAACAGCATTAAAAAATGATTGCTTTTCTGAAGGTCAGAGTTAGTTACTGTTGAGATGTAATTTAAGAATTATCAAATTTTGTTTCTCTGCAATATTGCCTAAATGTTTTTCCTTTGCTTATTAAAAAAACCCCAAAACATGCAAATTGACAATACTTTGCTTGGCTGAAATATTTTCAGAATATAACTTTTCCCTCTTGAAAAAAAAATAACCCATCTAGGCTCATTTAGGGGTTGGGGGTGATAGGACACACCAAACAGAAAAAAAACCACAATGAAAGGATTTGTGTAAACATGTATGAGATTATAGAAACAAAGCACTTAATTCAGAGGGGGAAAATTATGATCAGATAAGGGCTTTTTCATCTGAAATTATGGCCTCTCTCTTTCATAAACACTCTGGTATTGCCAGCCACTTTTGCTCAACAGGCAAGCTGGAGATAAACGCGCTGCTTTTGCTAAGGTGCTGGGCGATGGAGCATGCTCACTGAAGCCCCAGGTGTGACCCCTGCTCTTCTGCAAGCAGCAATTGGACCAGGCAATCCATCACCGTGCTCCTCCTGTCAGGCTGGGTGCTTGGCTGCAGCTGTCTGTCACACTGGTGGATGGGACCTGCTTAAAGGCAATGATGTCAATCTGTATGTGACTACTCAGACTAAGATAGAAGGATGATCTTGACAGGCTTGGCAAAGTCAGCAGAAGGCACTAGAGGACTTCAGTTATATGCTTAAAATTCAGATGCAATGTGTGCTTCTTATGTGGAGGCATTGAAGAGGCATGAAACAATGCTGTTTTTTATAGCTGGTCATCTCGGATGAATCTGTTGCCTTCAGAATGTTTTCCATAGTAAATGTAGCGGCATTTTCCCAAAATGCCTACAATAAAGAGGAAGTTAATTACAATTAGAACAGCAGTGGCATAATATGCAAATAAAGCACATAATTATGGAACTTTGAAGGAGGGAACAGTTTTCTCTTGTTCTGCAAAATAAAGTTTGTGCATTTGAAATATCCAGTATTACTATTTCATTCAGCAGTTTTGAGTCCACTGGGAAAATGTGTGTTCAAATATCTGTATGACATATCCTGTTAAACAAAAATCCACAAGTGTCTTAAAAAATGGAATAACATAACACTGATACATCATACACTGTATTTTAAATCACAGTACATCTCTCCTGCTTTTGAAACGCAGAAATTCTGAGTTGAAGTTGAAAAATAGGACAGGGGGCAGTAGGCACAAGCTGGAGCATAGGAGGTTCAAGTTAAACATAAGGAAAAACTTCTTTACCGTGAGAATGACAGAGCACTGGAATAGGCTGCCCAAAGAGGATGTGGAGTCTCCTTTTCTGGAGACATTCAAAACCCATATGGACATGTTCCTGTGTGATTTGCTGTAGGTAATCCTGCTGTAACAGGTTGGACTACATGATATTCAGAGGTCCCTTCTAACCGTGACAACTCTATCACTCCCTAAGTTACATTTTGTACTATCTGTAATCTCCCTGCTATGCTTACAGAGTTTTTAATACAAGTAAATATTTACTAAAAAAAATTTCCAAAGTAGCTCTGCAAACAACATTCCATGAGAGAGATGCAATTATAAATTATGCTAAATATCTGTACATAGAGCATGCTTTCAAAAATTACCCAGAACACTGCCTTTGGGAGACAAGGCACATTAATTTCAGTGAGTACAGGCAAGATGTCTGAGGAAACCTTAACCAGTGTAGGTGAGACACACATATCTAAGGATCCCACTACCTTGTACAAAAGTATCCCCTCTGGTGATACTAAGTGGTATGTAAAAGCGTAAATTCACAGTCACATCCCACCTGTGAGCATCCTCAAAGATGCAAAATTTTACTAGCAGAGTTGTTCTTTGTTCCTCCAAGCACATATAGTCAAATTAAAGTGATGCCCCATGCACAGAATGAAGGTGAGTGTCCTCTGTCTTGGAGTGTCTTAACACAACAATCACTGACATACCTACGTCACTCCCATAAAGGCAAACATAACCTAGCCCAAACTGCCTTACAAAAGGGTAAAGATAAGAGACGAGCAGCTCCTCAATTCATTGCTGTTACAGCTTTCCAGGACTCATATAGCAAATACTGTGTTCTACATCTATTCTTCCAGTATAGTGTGCATAAGTTAAGCAACTATGCCTTGGAAAGCATTGGCTACACAAGATTACTGTTAATCCATGCACTTCTTCCCATGTAAGACATCAAGAAGTAACACATTCCTATGGAAAAAAAAAAAAAAATACATAAATTGATAAGCCTGTCATTTGTTGTGAAAAACGCTTTGCTCTTTAGGATTACACAAGTGGGAACAGTGTCTGTTCCCTTTCCCTTCCTCCATGGAGCTTTCTTCAATAATTTCATTTTCAACACTCTTGTTAGTGGAGCAGCTTCCACATTCAAGAAATTATATTATCATTCCTAAAAAAGTGCCTAGCTCAAAGCAAGCTTCTTTGGCCCTAAGCAGATGATATTCCAAGTCAAACTGCAGAAGGATTAGGTTGGTAACAAGGCCATTTAGAGTTCTAAATGTAAAGGATACGAACAGTTTATTAATGGCATTCTTCAGACTCCTTTTCACTGGCATTGATAAAAGTCTTGTTTGAGGTCTGCCGCATTTCTTAAGGACTGGAAGCAAGACTGTTTATAGAGATGCTGGTGAGAGAGTGCTGTTTGATGAATGCTGGAGACTGTAGCTAGGTGTCAGCGCTTAGAAAATGAGGCAAGGACATGAGGTATTAATATTGTCAATGATCTCTTGACAGGAAAACAGATACTGCATTCACCGTCAGATTTAAATAGACATCAAGTGCATTAATGACAAAAGGGCAGACTTCAAACAAAGGGGGCTGTATGGTGCTGCACTGAGCCAGTCTCCAAGTTGGCAATAACCTGATCTGAAAAGACACTGTCAGGGCTACAGACAGGCGTGGGATTGTGTGCGGTGACAGAAAACAGAGATGCTGACAGAGATACCGGTGCCATATTATGCCAAGTATATTCTAACACTGTCTCCAGCCCTAACTAAATCTGACATCATTTCCTATTGCTTATAGTATCCTCCACTGCTCCGGCAGAATATTCCTCCCCAGACATCATTACAAACTCCACTGTAGTTTTAAAGTTACTGGCAGGCCTGTGCTGTTGTGGAGGCTGGGTCTAGAGGCCTAAGGATAACCTCAGTCAATCTAAATTTGGAGTTTGCTGTAGAAGTGCTCTCATTTTCACTGATATCTCAGCTAGTTGAGGTGATCTGAACACTAATGTGTGAGGAGCTGTCACCTTGAATAAAATCCTTAAAGTAAAGACACTCAGTTCCTGGGATGTTCAGCAAAGATGTCGGACAGTCTGGCAGCAGGAAATGAAATCCAGCTGCTGCTGCTCGCCTGGGGATAAAGGTGCTTGGGCTAGTGACAGTTAAAGTCAGCTGAAATTTTTTAACTCCTGCAGCCTACAATTGTTTAAATTAAGGAAGTGTTGCCTCCGCAGAGATTCCCTACCCAGGCACACAGCTGTGATTTGATTGCCAGGCATATTACACACTCTGCTCCGAGAGTTTTGATAAAAGCACAGTTGAAAATGTTGCCATGAGACTTCATTTATTTAGGTTATTTGTAAAACAATAATCTTGCTCATAAATTAAATGTGGTGACTGGTAGTTCTTTTTGTTTGTTTTCCCTCTCCATTTCCTACCTCCCTTTGGCAACCACAAAAGACTTGATGAACTACAAAAGGCTTATGTGCTACAATGATAATTTTGCTGCTAAGGTATGTCACACATGAATTTATGAAACCTACTGCTTCTCTCCTGCCTATCTGCTATGGTCTTCATATCTTGCAATTCAGAGGCAGAGTGCACTTGTGTTTTTGCACACAGACAAGGGGAGGATTAAGGGAGAAACAATACATTTGTGGCTGTTGTGGTGTTTTTTAATTAAAATATCCAGCATTGGCCATAATAAGCTAAGTATAGCCCATATATATCAAAACAACACACAGCATCTTGAATGAGGTTTCTGCTCACAGTTCTTAAGAAATGACAACATAAGGTCTCTTCAGGGATCATCTTCCCTGAATGAAGCTTCTAATTTTTCTTAAGTAGCTGCTTCTACCATCACCACAAGCTGTTAAAACTATAATTATGAAAAAAAATGCATTGGGAAAAGTAATTTTTAAATTCACTTTTTATCTTTTAAATGTTTTCCCCCTTCGGAATTGATGTTCTAATTATGCTAGTTAAGTAATGACCTTGCAGTTGCTTGCATGTGTTGTGGTATCAGTCTTTCCTCACAAACACATTGTAATGTCAGCAACACCAGCTTTTCCCCAACTGAAGAAAAACTCAATTATCCAAATAAATAAATAAATACATACATGCATACTAAAGCACGTGAAAAATTGTTCAAGTCATGTTTGCTCCTTTTAATTTGGGCATGTGTTGCAGAGAGTTATGGTGCAGTTGGACCTTCAAACTCATTCCTAGAACAACACAGTTTGTAGATTTTCATGTATTATACGAAAAATGGTAAAAAGAATTTGCAATGTGTTGTGTTAGACCTATAGATCATACAACTTGAGTCACATGTCAAAAGTCAGCTTAGGCTGACAGTGGCTTTAGGGAATTGCCTGGTAGCATCTTGTTGCCTTTCTTGTTTGACTTTTTTTCCTAGCAAATAAATGCTCTACATCTATTAAAAAAAGACCTTGCAGCCATCACAGCTGGGGCAGCTATTAGCAACACAGCAGTGTTCTGTTTTCTTTAAAAAGTAATTACTAAAACTAAGTAGTCAAGGAAAAACTTTTGCCACCTCCATCCAATTCTATTGCCACATCTGCACAAGATCCCTCTCAGGCACCCATTTTAACATCAAATATTTTTAATAAACTTCTCTGCAACTGCAAACAGCAAAGTATTCCAGGATACAGTCCTCTGCCTGTCTTTCACATGACTCAATATTCTAGCAGGATTCCACTTTGCCTAATTTTAATTTTAATAGAGTATCTAAATCCTCCACTGCCAATTTCTGTTTGATCTATATTAATCTCTTTGTCCGCAACCTGCTGTTGTATAGTTTTACTATGGGCTATTAAACAGCTGCCATGTTCCACCAAGAAGCTGGGTGCATTTCAGTGTAGTTATATAACCAATCTGTAAATTGTTTTGAGACCCTTCAGGATGAAATATCAATACCATTATAATTTTTTTTCATAGGCACTTGGGCATTTTCTAAAATTAATGAACAGAAGTTGCAAAATTCCCTTAAATATTAATTTAAATTTCCTTTAAAGGAAAATAATTCCCTACCTACAACATTTAGAGAAGAATAAATACCTACCTACAGTTTCAAGTCTACAGTGCTACCTATTGAGGCAAAACACCTCCATCAATTGAATTAATTGAAAACTCTTTACAACCTTTGCATCTAAGGGATATGTAAAGCTGGTTTAAAACAAAAAATATTTTTTTCAGGAGTTTAGTAGTTTTTCATTTTATACTTATCTGCGTGGATATTCTAACAACTTCATCTAGTTGTCTAGTTGACAACTTGTTATTTCAATTCCACTTTAACCATCTATGAGAAAGGAAGCACTACACATCTTCCAGAAATTAGGAAGCTAATCCTCTCCCCTTCCAGGACCACAGAGGTTACTTTTTTATCAGGAGAATTAAGTCATACATACTGTCACAATCAATTTAGTGAAAAAAAACCACACAAATAATTCCCATCTAATTATACCTGAGCTATTTCATAATCATCATGAAGAACATTAAAACAATGGAATGTTGTAAAAAGTGTAATGATATTTCAAAACATGCTCCTTCAAAATATTTGCTTTGTAATCCTCAAT